TCTGATGCTGGCGATGACGAGGTTATGTACATGAGTTCCTCCTCCTTCTCTTCCTTCTCCCACTACTCATGCTTCTCTTGCAACTCCCGCAACTACTCGTGGACACCATCCTGGAGCTCTCTAGGTTCATCTTGGTTTGCTTCCGAGGTCATGTAGGAACAGCGTCGCGCGGTCAAGCCAACGACCGAAGGGACCGACAACGCGTTTTTTGGGCCGACCATGCCGTGTGGGTCCCTTCAGTCGTCGGCTGAACGGACCTCGGGGCCGCTTGGGAGGGAGGCTGGACAGCTCTGGGGCGTTCACGCCGCTACGCCGCTATATCGTTACGCCATTACACCGCTGCACAATGACAATGGGCCGCAACGGAGCAGATCAGCCCCCGTAGACGTCCAGACTCCCAGGTGTCAATAGTTTGGCTCATCGCGTGACCCAGCCAGCGACCGAAAGGACCTACAAATCATTTGTTTGGAAAACTTGCTTTGGAGGTCCCTTCGGTTGGCGGCTGAACGGACCTTGGGCTGGACAACTGTGAAGCGTAACGTGGCTCGTTGCGGGTAACGGCGTAACGGTGTAAAGGTATAACGTTACACCGTTGCGGCTAACGGTGCAACGGTGTAGCGGTGTAGCGCTACACCGCTGCCGCTAACGGTGTAACGGTGTAATGGTGTAGCGTTGCACCGTTGCGGCTAACGGTGCGATGGGTAGCGCTACACCGTTACACCGTTAGCGTAACGGTGTAACGGTGTAACGGTGTAACGTTACACCGTTGCGGCTAACAGTGTAACTGTGTAGCGGTGCGGCGCTACACCGTTAGCGTAACGGTGTAACGGTGTGAACAAACATCAAAGTTACCCGTATTTCCCCCACACTGATACTGTTTTAGGTATGTGTATATATATATAAGAGAGAGAGAGAGAGAGAGAGAGAGAGAGCGAGAGAGAGAGAGAGAAAAAAAAAAAACAGAAAGAGAGAGAGAGAGAGAGAGAGAGACACCAAACTTATCCTGGCGAAAGACCCAACCATGTGAAGTTGTGGGTGCCGCGATTGTGAATATTTTCTTCGGTGAAGCTCTCTATTGGGCCGCGAAGCGCTGCGCTGGGCGGGGGGGGAACGCATGCGGGCGGTAGCACTGGGGCCGTCGGTGAAGCTCCCTATGAGGCCACGAAACGCTGCACTGGGTAGGTGAAAACGCCAAATTAAGCGTGTGGGACGCATGCGGGCGGTCCCATTGGGGGCTTCGGTGGAGCTCCCCATGGGGCCACGAAGCGCTGGGCTGGGTGGGTGACAGTGCCAAATTCTGTGTGGGGGACGCATGCGGGCGGTCCCACTGGCGGCTTCGGTGGGGCTCCCCATGGGGCCACGAAGCGCTGTACTGGGCCGGTGAAAAAGTGAATGTGGGGGACGCGTGCGGGCGGTCCCACTGGAGGCTTCGGTGGAGCTCCGTGTGGGGGACGCATGCGGGCGGTCCCACTGGGGGCTTCGGTGGGGCTCCCTATGTGGCCACGAGGCGCTGTCTGGGCGGGTGAACGTGCCAAATTGGGCATGGTGGACGCATGCGGGCGGTCCCACTGGGGCCGTCGGTGAAGCTCCCAATGAGGCCACGAAACGCTGCACTGGGTAGGTAAAAGCGCCAAATTAGGCGTGTGGGATGCATGCGGGCGGTCCCACTGGGGGCTTCGGTGGGGCTCCCCATGGAGCCACGAAGCGCTGTACTGGGTGGGTGACAGTGCCAAATTCTGCGTGGGGGGCGCATGCGGGCGGTCCCACTGGCGGCTTCGGTGGGGCTCCCCATGGGGCCACGAAGCGCTGTACTGGGCCGGTGAAAAAGTGAATGTGGGGGACGCGTGCGGGCGGTCCCACTGGAGGCTTCGGTGGAGCTCCCTGTGGGGGACGCATGCGGGCGGTCCCACTGGGGGCTTCGGTGGGGCTCCCTATGTGGCCACGAAGCGCTGCCTGGGCGGGTGAACGTGCCAAATTGGGCATGGTGGACGCATGCGGGCGGTCCCACTGGGGGCTTCGGTGGAGCTCCCTATGGGGCCACGGAGCGCTGTACTGGGTGGGTGACGATGCCAAATCGGGTGTGGGGGACGCACGCGTGCGGTCCCACTGGGGGGGTCGGCGGGGCTCCGTATGGGGCCACAGAGCGCTGCACTGGGTGGGTGACAATGCCAAGTTGGGTTTCGGAGACGCATGCGGGCGGTCCCACTGGGGGCTTCGGTGGGCCTCCCTATTGGGCCACGGAGCGCTGTCTCGGGTGTGCGAAAATGCCAAATTGGATGCAGGGGACGCATGCGGACGGTCCCACTAGGGGCTTTTGGTGGGTGACAGTGCCAAATTGGGTGTGGGGGACGCATGCGGGCGGTCCCACTGGGGGCTTTGGTGGGGCTCACTATTGGGCCACGAAGCGCTGTAATGGGTGGGTGAAAATGCCAAATTTGATGTGGGGGACGCATGTGGGCGGTACCACTGGGGGTTTCTTGAGTATGGGGGACGCATGCGGGCGGTCCCACTGGGGGTTTCGAAGGAGTTCCCTATTGGGCCACGAAGCGCTGTACTGGGTGAGCGAAAATGCCAAATTGGATGTGGGGGACGCATGTGGACGGTCCCACTGGGGGCTTCGGTGGAGCTCCCTATGGGGCCACGAAGCGTTGTACTGGGTCGGTGACAATGCCAAGTTGGGTGTCGGGGGCGCATGGGGGCGGTCCCACTGGGGGCTTCGGTGGAGCCCCTTATGGGGCCATGAAGCGCTGTGCTGGGTGGGTGAAAATGCCAAATTGGGTGTGTGGGGGACGCATGCGGGCGGTCCCTTTTGGGGCTTCGGTGGAGCTCTCCATGGGGCCACGAAGCGCTGTGCTGGGTGGGTGAAAATGCCAAAGTGGGTGTGGGGGACGCATGCTGGCGGTCCCACTGGGGGCTTCGGTGGAGCCCCCTATGGGGCCACGAAACGATGTACTGGGTGGGTGAAAATGCCAAATTGGGTGTGTGGGGGACGCATGCGGGCGGTCCCTTTGGGGGCTTCGGTGGGGCTCCCTATTGGGCCACGAAGCGCTATGCTGGGTGGGTGATACGCATGGAAGAAGAAGGAGGGAGGGCAGGAGGAGGAGGAGGGGGAGGAGGAGGAGAGGAGGAGAAGAGGACAGGAACGCGGGGACCGTCTCTTCAAAACGAGGACCAAACACCACAGGATGGTTGGGAAAAAGACAACTGTGATAAAGTGGGTGCCTGTACGCATAGATCTCTGACCGGGGGGGGAGCAAGACGGCTCCAGAGCGCCCAAGCCCAAACTGGGCCCCAAGACGGGCCAAGAGGGCTCGGAGGCCTGGGCCCGTCATGGGCCCAAAAGTTCGACTCGTTGGCCCAAGGGTCCTCCCTCTCCTTCTCCTCCTTAATAACTTCCTCCGCCTCGACTTCGTCTCCAAAAAGATCGGAACACCGGGAGTCCACGGCCCCATCCTGCGAGCCGACCTCGCCAGGAGAGTCCTCGAGGACATCCGCTAACAGCTCTGCACATTCTCGGTGAGACCTACTCCGAGCCTCCTCTACCTTCTTGACGCTCCTGGCCTTAGCCTTGGACGAAGGCGATCTCACAGCCCCGGTCATCGTACTCGTACCCCACTGGGTCCTCACCCCCCTCCTTCAGCGCTCCCGAGGCCAACGAAGTGAAAAGACACGCCGTCGGAGGTCCGGGCACAGGCAACAGCAAGCACGACGGTGCGAGGTCCACAGGTGCAGGTCCCCTGGACGCCCATGCGAACGGGACCTCCGGGCCCCTGCAAGACCCTCGCGGCGGGGGCTGGGCCGAGAAGGGGCCCCCCACGGGTCGGCGACACGCAAGAGCGACCCTGGGTAAGAGTGACCTTTGGTGCGCGGCTCTCTGGGGGCCGAGGGGGGACCAAACCTGGGCGCGCAAGCCGCTGCTCCTGCTTCGTGCTGAGCCATCAGGGGGCCCACCTGTGCCCGCACCAAAGGTCGCTCCGGCGAAAGGTCACTCTCACGTCTCGTCGAACAGGGGAGGACGCGGGCGCGGCCCCAACGAAGCACCCCGTCGCTGCTGCCGCGGCAGACAGTGCGCCGATCCTGGCCGGGCCGTGCCTTCACCCAGCACTTCCAGGCCTCGTCGGGGGAGCGCGTGCCCCGACCCTGGGAGCGGCAGGGGCCGGTGCAGGAGGACAGGCCTCCTGGGACTCGACCCTCGGGCGAGACGGGGGGGGTAAGTCTGCCAAGAAGGGGGAGTGCAGGGCAAGTCTGCTCCACATCGGTCCCTGGGCCCCTCCTTGTGTCCGTCCTGTGCAGCTTGTCGAGTCCGTGTCTGACGTGCCCGGGGCCCGAGAACGGCCCGAGACACCTCCTCGAACCCCAAAGGCCGAGCCTCGCCCATCTCTGCTGGCCAGAGAATGCCTACTGACCTTCGTTCACGATACTATTCTCAGTATCCCACAAATTCAAGTCTCCCCAAGTCAAAACAGAACGCATCCTATTGCTGTGCTTTGCGCACGAGATCTCTGATTTCATCCATTCGCCATGACATGCGTCTCCCCCCGTCCGCACCACCGCCCTGGTAGAAGAACCACAACTGCATAAACATAAGCTTTCGGAGCTCCTCGCGGCTTTCCTTGAGTCGAGAAGCCCCCAACCCTGGCGCGCGGAGCGCGCCAGGGGCGGCGCTGAAGGCGTCGCCAAGGAGTCCCCGCGCCGATCCAAGAAAAATCCGCGCGCATCTTCGAACATGTGTGTTCATGCAGATTCTGCGGGACGGGAAAATGACCACAGCCACTGCTTCTTGTTTGCGCCGCCTTCCAGCCGGCCGAAAAAGAAGCAGTGGTTGTGGCCATTTCCCTGGTACCGAGCTCAACGAAAATGACCACAACCACTGCTTTGTTTCTGCGAGCTGGAAGGCGGCAACAAAAGAACAGCAGTGGCTGTGGTCGTTTTCACGCCCCGTAGATTCTTCTTCTTCTTCTTCTGCTTCTTCTTCTTCTTCGATCTGGGGCGCCCTCGACCGATCCTGCAGCCTCCGGGCGGCCTCTGCGCTGCTCACCGCGGTGGCGCGGCGCTGGGCCTCCGAGGCCTGGGCGCCGCGCGCCTCTCCCACGCTGTGCTGCAGGCCGCCCAGCTGGCGGCGCAGCGTGGCCAGCTCCCCTCGCAGCCGGTCCACCTCTCGGGGCGGGCGAAAGGAAGAGGATAGTAAAGGCGGGGGGTTGAGAATCAGCCCACGTAGCTGACTTTTCCAGCGCCTCCCGGCGCCGGAGGCGCCCATGTATCGAGGAATGGGCCCCTCGGTGGAACCGAAACCAGCTGCATGCAGCAGATTTCGTACCCCCCCTTTCCCAATCCCCCCCGTTCGTCCGGCCCGACGAGGACCTCTCGGGGACGCACTGGCCCGGGGCAGCGCAGACCCATGCCAGCCGAGGCCACGTCGCGAACCCATCGGGGGGGGAGCAAAGGTGGGGCTTTGGGCAAAGGTAGGGCCGGGAGAGGGAAATCGCTCCGAACGGCCCCTGGAAAGGACACGCGTTCGACAGGAGCGTCCATCTGGGCCCGCTCCCCAGCCCCACCTTGGGATAACCCTCCCTCTACGAAGCCCCGAACCCAGGCCGGCCACGAAGTCGGTCCCAAGCCCGGGTCCGCGGAGGGCCGGGTCCGCGGAGGGCGGCTCCGGATGGCTTCCAAGCCAAGGTCAGCCAGAGGATCGTGGAGAGGATTGGCTGATCCCCGTTAGCGCTGACCCCGTTACGTGGGCCCCGACACCTTCAGGGTATTCTTGAAGTCGGGTCTGGTGTTGAAGTCCCAGGCGTGGTGATCTGGCACGACTTGGGGCTGTCAGGGCGCAACAGTCACGTTGACTCGCGGCGTTGAAATCTCAGGGATGTTTTCGCACGACTGACGATTCTCAAATGGTTGTCTCCCAACAGGGCACTTCCCGCAATGACCAGAAATTCTAGAAGGGACCCGTGAACGGGGAACTTAAAGGGGGAGTTATTGCAACATCGTTGACGCGTCTTGGGTTTACACTGGTCATTGGTCCTCCTCCTCCCCCCCTCCTCATCCTCCTCCTCCTCCTCCTCCTCCTGGGCTGCTTAGTCCAGCACGTGGTGGTGCTGACGGTATACTTCGGGCTGACTGCGATGACATAGCCACGGCGAGTCATTGCTGGAACCACGAGTGTCGTTGCCGAACAGCCCACGCGTACTTTCAGGACGCATGTCCATCCTGCTTGCACGACAGAAGGCCCTCCCACTCACAGAGGCCACAGGGCGAATCTAAACGTCGTTGGGCCAAACGGGAATAGTAGATTCGCCGACTGTAGTAGGCAACCTCATGTGGCGAAGCGCGGCCAGGATCGTGATGCCTTTTGCCTTTGGGGCCTCCGGGTGAAAAGCCCTCGTCTGCGCGTCTGGATTCGCCCCGAGATCCAAGCGAGAGCGCACCCGAGGAGAGATCGGGGTGCCGTTCTTGAGGGCTGAGCGAGTGGAAGGTGGAGGAAACGATCGCATGCTCTCACCCGGCGAAGCGAGGGAGGCGGCGATGACCACGCTGGTGCGTCTGACCACCGGTCCGTCCATACATCTACGAGAAGTTCGTGTCATGACGACCCTCGCGCTGGTTTTTGACACTGCGTGGAGCGGTCAATCCTGAAAGATCGACGGCGTTTCGATCGCCCGATCGTTCCATATCGGCCGATTCTGGGCCGCTGGCGGTGTCCACGCTTGAACTCCCGCGGCGGGGACGCCGCCGCGTAGACACGACGTGGACTACCGTACTCATGTCTAGCCCCCATCACCGCATCTCGGCAACTCATGACGGCGTTCATGGCCAACTCCAGACCCTGACCGCGCGCCCCACGCAGCCCGCATCATGTGAAAGCCCGTTCTCTCTTGTCACGTGCAGCATATTACTATACAACATGATGCACATGGATATCGGTTCAGTGGCGACTCGGCGCGGCGCTCATGGTTTTCAGATTCTACACTGGGCGTGGTAAGGCGACTTCGCACACGACACGGCGCCCCTCATATATACGTTCTACTACAATCACACGCGTTTCGCGCGCTGAGGTTCTAGCAAGCACCCGCCCTTGACCATTCACAATTGCATGCGTGTAAGTATGCAGGGCCATGAATTGTAAAGAAGTAGCATGAACGCGAAACGAACCTAACATCGCATAACCGTCAGAAGTACGCCCAAACATCTTCACCGCGCCGAAGAAACAACAAGGCACAACCGCGGAACAAAAAAGTGTGTTTCGCAATGGCAATGGCATGCAATAAACATCATGTTGAACGAACGTCACGGCAACAAATCGTGGAACGATTCGTAGCAACACCATCCAAAAAACAATGGGCAAAGCAACCGCACGGACGTGTAATGCAGTGCACATCCAGACAACATAGAAGAATATAAAGGGATACGCTGCGAAACATCCATCACCACCACAACTGCAATGCAAACGAATGCGCAATGCGATCGAATGCAAGATGTCCGACGAACCCGACAACTCAGGGAAAGTGGAATTCGGATAACGTAGGGACGGGGAATCCGACGAAACAGCCCTGGGAACCTGCACTGGAGGTCGTAGCTGTCACCAGGTCCCTTGGACCGAGGAAGGGCTAGAGAGGGAAGGGGAGAGCAAGGAGGGAAGGAGGGAGAAGCGAGCATACGGGCCGCAGCAGGGATGAGAGAAGAATCAAGCGGGGGGACGGCGGAAGGAGAAAAAGAGGAAGGGAAGGAGGAGGGCGGGATGGACGAGCAAGGAGGAAGGAGAGAGGAGGTGGCAGGACAAACAAGAAAAACGTTCGAGAAGGGATGGAGACAATAGAGGGACGGAGAAATTCAGAGGCCCTTGTCGGGCTTTCGGGGACTCGTGGGCCCGTATCTGAAGAACACGTTGGAACATACTTCCTTGGGTCTCTGTCTGGTTTGGGCCAGCTGGAAGACCTGTGATGACTCTCAGTGGCCCCTTGGGTGGCAACTTGGAAGCTGCTAGGACCTCTTCCTGGGCTCTTTGAGCAAATGGGGAGTCATATTGGGATATCTCGGAACATGTTCGGGCCATCTGCGGGCCTACTGGGGCCGAGGCTTGATCCGCTTGACGGTCTCTGGGACCCTGGGGGCATTCGAGGCCAGTCTGAGGACCCTCGGAAGGCCTCTTGAAACGGTCGCCGCGTGTCCGGAACCTCAGAAGAATAACATTCGGCCGGTAAATCCAGGTTCTCAGAAATGCAACGAGCAGACCTGTGAGTGCCTACCAGAAACCTCTGGGCACCATGGATTCAACCTCGGACGCCCTCTCTGCACCTCCCCTTGACCGCGTCTCGCGGCCGGGGGGGGGGCGCCTCGGGGCACCCCGGGAGGAGTCGAGGTGTCGCGGGCGACGGGAAGGGCCACGCGTATCGGCGGTGGACACACCTCCCTGTGGTAAACCACCCTTCAGTGAAAACGGCCTAAGACCGAAACCGACGGACCTAGACCCGCGAAAATGACGGCCGCGACGCCCTCTCGCGAACCGAAAAAGGCAAATTCGCTAACCGACGTGTCAGGGTAGGCGGTCTGCTAACCTCCGCCTCCTGGGGTCTGCGCTTCTTTGGGCCTTCTTCTGTGCCTCCAGGCGGCCCCTTGGCTCTCGGGGGCCTGTTGGCGGCCTCAGGGGTCATCTCAGGGCCGAGGGCTGGAAATGGTCGGGCTCCCCCTCCTGCGGCCCTCCGGTGCCCTCTTCAGGGCGTCTTGGTCCCTCTCGGGGCCCTCTTGGGCCGTCTAGAGGCTCAGGGTAGGAGGTCTATCAACCTGCGAGAATAGCCCGCCTCATCGCCTGGCGGCGGGCCAAGAAAATGGCCCGCCGCCCAAAACCAAGCTCATCGTGCCTCGCCCCCCCTGGGCTAGCGCGACGCTCACGGCACTGTGGATGCGCAAGATCTGTGGTGAAAGCTCTGTGGCGTAAACTTTGCGGTGCCACCAGTGTGGTACAAGCTATATGGTGAGAGCTACGCGGTGCAAGCTGTGTGATGCAAGATGGCTTGCAAGCTACGCGGTGCATCAAACTGAGTTGTGTAAGCTATGTGGCGCAACCTGTGCGGTGCAAGCCCTTTGGTGTAATACGTGTGGTGTGAGCTATGTGATGCAAGCGATGTGGTGTAAGATACGTCGTGAAGGTTATGGCAAAGGTTATGCGGTGCAAGGTGGTGCAGGCTAACCAAGTACCCCTGATAATAATGCCCCAGAGATAAGAAAATTTCGGGGCTCCGGCGAGGAGGGGGGGTCATACAGACCCGACGTGCTCACTGAAGAAGAGGGGGAGGGGCAAGAGGATGAGGATGAATTGGTGCTGCTCGGAAGGTGATGTGACGTATCTTGGGGTCTCTTTCGAAATCTCTCGGGATCCGGCTTGTCGGCGGTGGACACACTTCCCTGTGGTAAACCACCCTTCAGTGAAAACGGCCTAAGACCGAAACAGACGGACCTGGACCCGCGAAAATGACGGCCGCGACGCCCTCTCGCGAACCGAAAAAGGCAAATTCGCTAACCGACGTGTCAGGGTAGGCGGTCTGCTAACCTCCGCCTCCTGGGGTCTGCGCTTCTTTGGGCCTTCTTCTGTGCCTCCAGGCGGCCCCTTGGCTCTCGGGGGCCTGTTGGCGGCCTCGGGGGTCATCTCAGGGCCGAGGGCTGGAAATGGTCGGGCTCCCCCTCCTGCGGCCCTCCGGTGCCCTCTTCAGGGCGTCTTGGTCCCTCTCGGGGCCCTCTTGGGCCGTCTAGAGGCTCTCCTGGGGGCCTCTTGGGCAGCAGTCCCGAGGCGACTTTGAAGACCTCTTGGGTCGCCTCGGACAGTGTTCGAACTCAAGGGGGCAAGTCTACTAGAAACATAGTTCCCAAAGGGAATGGGGCGACTTTTGCTTATCGGGGCCCCCTTCGGGGGTCTTCATGGAAAGGTCTTGAAGCGTCGTGGGCGCCCCTTGGGCCATTTGGCATGCATCTTGGGCCGTCTGATCTGGGAGACGTAAGACTCGGGTACGGGGGACTCGGGTTGGCCTGACGGGGCCATCATGAAAATGACAAGACCCTATCTGAAATGTGACGCGATCTACCGCTGCAAACATCCCACGAAAACCAAACAGATAAAATCCAAGACGCGCTCGTAAAACAAATTCTGCAAAACCGAGTTCCGGCTTACTCGAGTCTGACGTTTCCCCGACCTGAAACCCATCGAAGCCCTATTGGGGGTGACGCGGGGCCGTCTCGCGCTGCTGGGAGCTGCCGGATTCCTCTCGGAGGCGATGGTTTGCGCCCCCCTAACTGCGGGCCCAGCCCCGGGGCTATACATTTGCGGTCGGGGCTCCGGCCCAGGGGCCCCCAGGCCCGGTCCCCCGGTATATGCATAAAACACGTCAACGACGTCCCTCTCGGCTGTCCAAGTATTAGCAAGAGGTACCGTTGGTCTGACGTCGGATCGGACGCCGATGCCACACCTGGCATATCACGCCAAGTCCCCACAATCTGACGTCGGGATGCTGCTGGCCTGACGGCCAAACTCGAGGAGAGTCTCCTAGATGCGAGACGCAACAACAAGATACTGGCACCATACGGTAACCCGCACATTCATACTGAACGAGAAGATCGGTGCAGATAATTACAGACACCCGTCACTTCGACGGCATCCCTCACTTGACCCTGGCGTTCCTAGCATCAACAAGTGTGAACGAATGCCTGAGCCTCGCATGTCCTCGCCTTACGATTCGACGTGTCCTACATTCGCGATCATTCGATTAGCCCTACAGCTACCATTATCGTACACGGCACACTAACCTTGACATGTCCTGCAGCAGACTGTTACCGAAACCTTGAACTTACTAACACGTTCGCCTTCATATCCACCTTCACGCTCACCCACATCATAATATTCAGTCTGACCCTCAGCTTCACAGCCCTACTGTGCCACATTTACCCTGCATGCCCTTGCCTCACCGAAACGTCTATTCCATCTTTGATGGCCATCCCCTGCGCCAAAAAAAGGAATCAGCCATGTCTCGCATACACTACGTGCCACGAGTCAGAACCCTCCTGGGGATCATTGCGGATCCTGTGCGAGACCTCGCCGCTGTCCCCCGCATCTCTGCCCCCGCCTCCGTCTCCAGAGGCGACGAGAAGAGAACTCTCCTTCTCCGCGCGTGCCCGCGCACGGACCCACCATTACTCCCGCCTGTGACCGCATCGGCACCAGCGCTTCTCCCTCCTCCCCCGGCCGCCTCCTTCTCGGCCGCGCGCCCCCTGCCCAGCTCCTGCTCGGCCACCTGGAACTCGCCGCGAAGCCGGTTTGCCTCCTCGACCTGCCTCCTCTGGCCCTGCACGCTCTGCTGCATCGCGCTGAGCTCGCTGGACACCTGGTCGACCTGCGAGGACCTCGCCTGCGCCTCGCGCAGCTCCGCCGCGGTCGCGGCCAGCGCGGCCCGCAGCCGCTCCGCGTCGGCGACCCGGACCTCGGCGGCGCCGAGCTCCGCCCGGAGCTGCTCCAGCTCGCCGCCCGCGCCCTCCGGCGCCGCGTGCGGCTGGCTCGGCAGCTCCGCCAGCTGGGCGTGCGCCCTGTCCAGCTCCTCCCGCAGGCGCTGGGCCTCGTCGCTGCGGCCCTGCAGGATGCGCAGCTTCCCCTCGGCCTGCTGGCACTCGGCGCGCAGCTGGTCCGCCTCCCCGACCCGTGTCTCCGTGAAGAGCAGCCGGCCCTCGGCATCGAGGAGGCGTGCACGGAGGTCCCGCGCCTGATGGGCCCACTTTCCACCAGGACCACCACCATGGGCAGGAGAGAAAGGAGGAGGAGGAGGAGGAGGAGGAGGAGGAGGAGGAGGAAGAACAGGACCTCCTCATCCTCCCTTCTCCCCCGTCCTGCGTGGTGGAAATGTTTGCCCCTCAGCGCCTCCTCGGAGCTGCGCTGGCTGGCGCTCAGCCGGTCCTCTGCACTGGCCAGCTCGGCCCGCAGGGTCTCGGCCCTGCCGCGCAGGCCGTCGGCCTCGGCGGCCGCGCGCTTGAGGGCGTCGAGCTCGCTGCGCTGCATCTCCAGTCCACCCCTCTGGCTCTCAGTCTTGACCTGCAGCTGCTGCGCCCTGTCCCGCTCTCTCTGTAGCTCCTCGGCCGTCTCGGACACCAAGCTCGCCTGGGTCCTCCTGGCCTTAGACGCCTGGGACTCAAACCATGTGATCATCTCCCGCTGCTGCGCCAACTCTCGCCTGAGCACATCGGTGGCAGCAGCTTCGTCCTTTGCTTCAGCGAGCTTCGTGCGCTCCGCCAGCATCTCAGCGCTCAGCGCGTCCAACTTTGATCGCCGCGGTGCCATGGACAGCGCTGTCTCCATCTCCTTCACCTTTCCGCGCGTGGCATGACCTGTCAGGGTGGAGACGGCGGCTTCCCATGCGTTAGCATAGGTGCCATGCTCGTCATCATTTAAGCCAGCGGCCTCCAGCGATTCACGCAGCCACTTCAAAAGGAGTCCCACCTGCGTTGGAGCAAACCACTCGCGGATGCACGTTGTGCCACCATCTGGACTTTCGTCGTTGTACTCTGCGGATATAATCACTTCGCACGTGAGATCAATCTCGTCGGGTCGCACAGCAACGTGTGGGGTGAGCACGACCTTGGGTGCCCCTGGCTTGGACAGCTGACGAACCAATCTCTCGGCTTCGATGCTATCGTTCCAGCACTTGGCCAATGACTTGGTCTTATGCTCTGCAGTCCGGTCGATCAGCTCCTGCGAGTCCTCGTCCTCCCTCTCTTCGTATTCCCCATTCGTCCGCTTCGCGATGTTCCCCTCCCTCTCTGTCTTCGACTGCTCCAGCGCACTTCGCAACTCCCGCGCGATGGGCCCCGTGACAATAATCTTGCTCTTGTCGTCGTCCGCACTGGGCAAATGTTGGGACAAGTTGGAGACGAGGCTGCCCGAGGCCACGGCCTCCCTGGTGAGGCAGTGGCACAGCACGTACTCGCTCCTGGCTTCTGCCCTGACGACAGCACGCACCTCGCTCCTCCTCCCTTCCCCCCCCCCCTCCCAGAACCCCCCCGGCGCCCTCTCCCCCCGCCAGGGGGCACTGCTCCCTGCCCTGGCAGGCAGGACGTCCTGTCTCCCCTCCCGGACAAAGGATGTGTTGGTCGCGAAGGTTGGGGTAAGAGGTGGTTGAGCAGGGACCAACCGTTCCGGCATTCCCACAGGCCTACCACGACATGTTCTTGGAGCCATCCAATGTTCCCAAACCAAGAAGACTGTTCTCATAACATACAACCAGATGGCCAAATCAAGACAGCCTCAGCAAAAACACATGTTCTGAGAACATTTCGTGCAAACCACACAAGTTTCTTAGAACATTCGTTGGTGGGTCTGTAGTCGACCCAGGACGCTTCGCCACTGCTTGACGTGAGGCATGGGGGCGGCGCTCGGGGCCCAAAGGGGAGAGGATGGCGACGGAGAGGGTAGGTCGGCTACACGCAAGAGGGTTAACCAGAAGTCCCCAAAGCCCTCCGAGGCCTTCTCCGTCCTGTTCCCCTTCTTCCCCTCCTCGTTGTATTTATCCCCTGGCCTCTTCTTCCTCTTCCTCCTCCTCATCCTCCTCCTCCTCCTCCCTTCTCGTCGTCCTCTTCCCCCCCTATCCGCCCCCTCTTTGCCCACTTCCTGCCTCCTGCCTCCTGCCCTCGGAGTGACCTTTGGTGCGCGGCTTCTCGGGGGCGGGGGGGACCAAACACAAGGGCGCAAGACGCTACTATCTCATTGCGTTCGGCGATCGGAGGACCCAAATGGGCCCGCACCAAAGGTCACTCGGGCGAAGGGTCACTCTTTCGGATAGTCGAGTGGGTGGAGAGAGTGAGAGGGGCTGGGCAGCGGGAGCGGGGGCGGGAAGGCTTCCGAATCGCCGGGGCGGTGCTTTGGAGCCCCGTCCTGTTGGCCTTGGCATCGCTGTCCCTGTCCGAATCTCCGTCCAAGTCCGTGCCGCTGTCCGAGCCGGAGGCGCCGCTCTCAAACTGCACCCGCAGCTGCTCGAGCTGCTCGAGCTGGTCGGGCATAACGTTGATCGTGGCCTCGCGC